AGGCAGTACGTGAAATAATTAAGTTTCCCGGTACTTCCTACTTCAGATCCAATGTCTTTACACGCAACTTAGGATGTTGCCAACGTTTGAATTGGCACAAAGCACTTTATGACTGGTTTGTGTCGCGTGTGTGTTGGCAGTATGACGGTATTGTTGTTTTCTTCGAGATCAGGCAACATCTATCGATCTGATTACATAGTACTACAAGCTGAACGGTTAATAATTTGTACAACACAAAAAACAAACGAACTCCGTGGTTTTAGTCCGCAAGTGAACTATACCGACCGAGCGACCGTCGCTTGTCGGCGAAGTTAGTGCCAACTTTAGCGGATTGAGGGTGTCGCGTGGTCAGCGCAACGAATCCGCATGGCCGTTAATTTCGGTTTTCTAGACCCGAGCCGCTATTTCCTTGAAACAGCTCCTAAACTATCATCACGAGGCTGAGTGGACCCCGTTCCAGAGTCACTACTTCTCAGAAAAAGTCTGGTATCGCCGGGAATCGAAGCCGGACCTCTGGATCTGTAGCCAGGAACTCTGACCACTAGACCACAGAGAAGGTCATTTCAACAACACACCAAGAACAATTTTACTGACTTCATGGAGCAGCGTCCTTGAGTTCAGAGTCGCCTAGTTAGTCATTCTACTTCCTGCTCCTCTGTTCACGAGAGCCCGCTACTTTTGTCGATTCTGTGCCACTGAAATTCGGACCACAATTTAAAACCCTATTTTTTAAGATCCTCTTTAATACTGCCCTCTCATCTACGCTTAGGTGTTTGAAATGCTTTCTTCCGTTGCATTCCGGCTAAAACTATTCAACGTCCCATCTTCCATCTCATTTGCATTGTTTTGATCACCTGAATCACCCTGACGAAGAGTACGAGCATGCAGCTCCCCATGTAATGTTCGCAATCATTTTCTTGGTCCAGATATTCTCCCCATCACCTCTTCTCACATGCCTTAAATCACTGTTTATCCAGTAGGGAGAGGGCCCAAGTTTCATGTTCACATAAAATAACGGTTAAAGTTTTGTAAAACTAATCCTCCGGTTTTTGTGAGGGAGAATAAAAAAAACTCTGTGGCTACTTATCACTTCCTTATCAGTGCAGTAGGTCTAACTACTTTGTGGGTTTGGAAGCATTGCGGGGGGCTTGTGAAATTCACTCAGTCCGTCCGTCCCAGCGCATGAAAACAATAAGGAACCTCTAGGCTGGTTTGTAGAGTTTTACAGGGAATTGTGGAGCCATTTCGGTTTCATTTAAGTCAGACTTGTGTAAGGAAGACTTTACATGTAGACCTACATGCGTTTCTTTGAAAATCTCATTAGATATTTATCGGAGAGGAAAATGTTGCAGACAAATATGGTATGGACAGATGGAACGTTCATTTTATGTCCTGTGCACTTCCCACTCAAGTTTTACAGTTTTCGAGTTAATTAAAGAAAATTGATGTTACTAGGAAATTTTCGGAATTCGACAGGCAGCATTGGTCCCCATGAGGTAAAATAAATGTGCCCTAACTAATTAAGCACTACGCCATGAACAAGTATGAGGGAGTGCATGTATAGATCCACATTTTTTGACCTCGGTACTAGTTGGAGGTGAGTGGTCAGCTTCACACCCCGGCCACTTTACCCCCAAGGAAAGAGCCCCCGGTATCCATCGTATAGGAGGCTGAGTGGGTCCCGTAGCCGATCTGGACGACGTTGAGAAGAAAACATTCTTGACCCTGCCGGGACTCGAACTCATACCCCTCGGTCGCCCAACCCGTAGCCAGTAGCTGTACCGACTTCGGTATCCGGGCTGTCCGTAGCACAATCAAATTTAAGAGGAGTACAAACAAAAGAAAGTATTTGTTGAGCTTAGACTGTATTAAAAACAGATTTTATCTTTTACTATGCTGCCCTATTACAGTAAAACCTTTTTTTTTTATTGCTAGTGGGGTGGGACTAAGTCCCTTGTACTGCTGCCACTTCTGGCCTATTGTACCAGCTCCAGATGATAGGTGAGGGTGATTGTGGAACAATTGGTGGAATGAAGATTGTCAGGGGAAACCGAAGTACTCGGAGAAAACCTACCCCAGCGCCACTTTGTCCACCACAAATCCCACTTGACCAGACCCAGGATCGAACCCGGGCCACCGCGATGGGAAGCCAGCGACTAACCGCCTGAGCTATGTCGCGGCCTACAATAAAGCCTTAATGCCTGCTTTTATCTATTCGGTATAGGAAATATTAGTCACCAAGCAGTGAATGGCTGCATGCAAATTTTATTTTTGTTTGAAAAGTTCACCGTAATCTTAATTATTTCATTTATAATTCCTTCTGCCAAACACATCTATTAGTGTATACTACATTCTTTTTCAATATTGTTTTCGTTATACAGATCACTGAGAGCACTGAATTTTAAATTCTAAAATTCAGATCTTCATAAAAATTTAGTTAGTTTCAAACCTCCACCCACGTTTTTAAACTCAGCTATTTACAGTCATAACAGCCGTTCTCAAGAACGGTACATGTAGGAACGAATGAACCTGTTCTGTAATAATGTCCTTATAATATGCATTTGTTCTCTCTTCCGGCCTTTTAATCATCTGGAATGTCTGCTTAACTTTGAAAAGCTATTTCCACCAATCACGAGGAATAACGAGATTTACACCTGATACACCTGATTTAAGTGGTTCCATGGGTCAGTAGATGCTGTGGCATGTAGACCCGTTGCTAGGAAACGACCGCGAAACAAGAAAGTAGACAACGGCCGTTACAAGGCAACGGTCCGTAAACAGCAATACAGGAACGGTATTTTCTGTGGGATCCGTGCAGATATGTTATAAGCAGGACAGGTAGTTAATGGGGGTCAGCTGAGTTGAGTTAGTTGATTGGTGAGTGACTGAGCTAGTCAGTTAGTTAGTTAGAGAACTGCTGACGTACAATAGGTATGCTGTTGCTGTGAGAAGCTGGTATGTGAGGCCGAGGATAGTTCAGAATCCCAGAGGAAGAGGAGCGTCCGCCGTTGGAAGCCGCTACCGGGCAACGGCTTGTGAAGTCGTGACTGTCTACACTAGTGTGTGTGTATGTGTAGTAGTAGTAGTAGTAGTAGTAGTAGTAATAGCGAATTTTAAAGTGTAGTCACATGCTGTGTCAAAAAGTCCAATAAATCCGATGATCAAGCCAAAACTCTTCTATAGTCACACTAAATCACGTGACAATATTTTCGACTGTGACATTGATAAGAGGTTCAGGAAATTGCTCAGTGACGCAGTGATTGATGCTTAAAAATGTATCTCTTATTATATTATGAGAATACAGGTCTTATAAAATATACAGAATGTTTCACGAATTTGTCATCATTTCCTGAGGTTATTCCGAGGTCATTGCGAAGGAAAAATGTTCTACAAACGTGGGTATGATTCTCGCCCGTTACATAGCTATAGGGAAGGAAAGTTAAGATATATGAATAACTCTAATATATTTATTGTATCACAACATGATATTTAATGGCTGTTCATTATTTGATATATCATGGATTTCCATTGCATTAACAAATGTTTAAAACGTCCGACTTCAGTTTTGATACACATTCTTCTCCGTTTCACAATACAGGGTGTGACGCGACGAAGCGTCTTGGCCATTGATGCCTGTGTGGGCCCATCGTTATAAGAGAGGAAGGAGGTGCTTACGTGGGTTCACCCTACTCTCATAAACAAGATATTTCATGTAACATCACACATGGAAGTCAGGAGGGTTGAGGGCCGGTGATTGCGGTGGTCAATTCTGCGAAAGACCTCCATCTTGCCAGTTCAGCGACCAAGGAAATGCTGAATCAAGTACCACATCTCGTGTCGACCGATATATGGACATACTTCATATTGCTGGAAGTATATTTGTGTCTTTGTTGTCAGAGATATATCCTCCAACAGACCCGGAAGCTCATTTCCCGAAACCCCTGTCAACCGACCCCCCCCGACTAGAATGTTCAATTGAGCTGAACGTAAATTGCACTACATCACATGATAACGGAATATTGATCCTGGAAATTGCTTTTGACGTACAGTATGGATTGACATCCAAACATAAATGTGAGTTTCTTGAACTCTTTACCGTGACACTGGCAAACTTGTGAATGAAAAGAGAAGAAGAAGAATATATGGATGCAGGTGGTGTGCGACTAGCCAGTGGCAGTAACAACCGCCTGCCTCAGTCTCCAGGTTCGCATCCTGTTCACCTGGCAACGACACACTGAGAGCCTTCTGCTTTCCCAAAATTGCCGATGAGAGGTTAGAAGATACACGCCCATCGGGGATTCGTCGCCTATATTTCCCAACTGAAGCAGGAGCTTTTCCGTTGCAGAACCGACGTACAAAATATACATCTGCACATTCTTCGTTACAAAATGTAAACAGCGCGGTTGTTACTAAACAAGAACACGTGCAATATAGTAAAATTGTCATTGCCCAACGTGTACTTTTTGTGACTTCAAATATGAGGCTATAGATCCCGCTTTGCAAACGCGGAATACCCATTTCATTCTGTAAACATATGAAACGATGGTTAGTTCGTCACAACACAGTTATGTTCAATACTGCCCCTTTTCTGCTGTATAATTCATATACACAGTGCTTCAGAATGTGACTTTACTCCCGATTTCAAAGGACTGGCTGCCATTAAAATGACAGATTTTATTATTTTTCCCCCTCAGAAATAACGCATTAATATTGTGTGTAATTTAAGTATTTCTCTTTTGAAGAAAGCAGTCTTTTGGGATTTGGCACCGTGTATATGTGGTGTTAACCGACGTTTCGGAGGAACGTGAAAACCGGTTCTCACGGTCTCTTCGCTTGCAGATTTCTTATATTTTTCTTCTACCCTGAAGATGGAGGCGATACGTTCCTCCGAAACGTCAGTTAACACCACATATACACGGTGCCAAATCCCAAAAGACTGCTTTCTTCATAGTCACCGCCGTGAAAGCCTCAAATCTTACATATTTCTCTTTTGTTTACAGTTTTGGAATCTCGCGCGCACTCGATGGCAGCTGGTGGCGTTACTGGTGGTGACGTCGAATCTTTACCAAGTTATACTGTAGTGTCAGGACTCCCAACATATGATGAAGCGCTGGAACAGATGCGGCAAGTGCGTGAATTGCGAACTGAAATGAAAATTGTGGAAGCACAAACACAAAATACGCAAAATAACGGTGCCAACAGTGACAGTAGACATCAACAACCATTGGCCAAATTAGCAGTTACGGAATTTACGCAGTACTATAAATCTCCAACAGTAAACTGAACTAATGTAATTAATTGGCGTGGAAATGTAATGCAAGGGGCAGAAAAGTGTTGATAAAATTTATTTATTGTGATTCATTTAAATGCACTTCCTGTCATGTCTATCATGTTCGAATTCGCACGCATTCAGAACCTGAAGCATAAAAATAAAGCCGTGGGCGAGTTTGATGTGTGTGAAGAATGAAATTTAGTATAAGGGCACTGAATTATGAAGTTGTATATTAAGCTGACAGGTCAAGACAAACAAAATTTCTCATTATGTGCATGTAACCGCACGTCAAATATCTGCCATGAGAGCTAAAACGATCTTATAGGGCATATGCAATAGAATGCTTTAGAAATATTCTTAAACGGAAATTAGAAATCAATCCGTTGTGCTATGGAGTGTGTTGTATGGGAATGCTACTGTCTTGTTCTAATGTTTAGGGAATTATTATGCCTATATTGGCAACATGTAGTGCAGAAGTGTTTTCACGTGTTCAAGTAGCAAAAGTGAGCTGAACGTAGCGGATCCGGTCGCAGGATGTCTTTGAACTGGTTGTGCTTATATGTATTATATTTGTTGGGTTAGAATTTCAATCGATTTATTCGATTGTGCAAATTAATTTCAACTGTACTGCGTTTATGTCAGTAAATAAAGCATTTATATATATATATATACAGACATATATATATGTGATGCATATGTATTATGATTCTATCCTAAATGAATACTTCATTGGTATGGCAGTGAAAGTGAATTGAAATTGGGTTTCGTTAGACTGGAGGACATAGGAATGAACACTAATCGAATGGACGAAAAGTAATAGAACCAACGAATAGTATCTGGACCGGTCTTATTACACGGATTAGATTTACGAAGTGTCAGATTTGAAGCAGGTACGTTTATACAGAAGTTTTGTACCTTTTCCTAGACTTCATTGGTTGTGTAATGTTGCTTTTGAGATTATGGAATGTGAATTTGAGATATAAATTAAATACATGATAGTGATCTGCTTTATCTGTTTGTCTTCGCCGTTACATTTTAAGTACAACTCAGTGGCTTTGGCAAAGTAGGTTAAACGTATAGAATCACATAACTTCCTTTTGTAGAATACTCAGTGCAAGGTTGAAGATACCAAGCTAACAATGGGCAGTACACAGCTGTACAGCTTGACTTGGGGAGAATTTGGGACTTCCTTGGTTTCTGCGGTTCAGTTACTGCGCTGTCATGGTGATCTGGTGGATGTCACTTTGGCAGCAGGGGGCCGTAGTTTCCCTGCTCATAAGATTGTATTATGTGCTGCAAGCCCCTTCCTACTTAATCTTTTGAAGGTAAGAGAGAGGTTTAGTGAATTATGGAAGACTCTATGTGGATATGATATTAGTTCCTCTTGAAGTAGTTGGAAAATATGCAGATGTATTTCTTTCTGAGCGACGAAGCCTAAATGTAAGTAACTGAAACCCTTGTTTGGCCCTCTTAAACATCATCTTTTGGCTGAACATTTTCCCGACAATGAGGCTGTAGAAAAGGTAGTCACCGCCTGGTTCCGACAGCAGACCAAAGAATTTTACCCTGCTGGTTTTCAGGGGCTTGTGAAACGATGGGACAAGTGTCTCGATGTACAGGGAGATTATGTTGAGAAATAAAAGCATTTTTCAAATCAGTAGTCTTATTTGTTTAAGTTCTATATCCATTTGTAACTTACTTATTGACTTACCTATGTATTAAATGGAATTTGGTACATACGTTAAACATGAATTAAATTAAAGAACAACTCAAATATTTTTTTCCATATGTTTATCAAAGTTCTATGTCTGCTCCTTTGGTGGCTCTGCAAACATCTAAGTGGTATTCCATTTCCTGCCACAAGAGTGATAGATGCGGCAACTTTCCTGATTCGCCGTTTCAAGTGTTGAATGTTGTGAATACAAACACTGTTGACAATTTGCTTCACATACTCTCAGAAATAAAAATCCAGGGATATCTGGTCTGGAGAACTAGGGGGCCATTGCTTCCATCCGACCCTCCCAATCCAGTGCTGTGGAAATATCTCATCAAGAAATTCCGAAACAGTTGGTATAATGCACAGGAGCATCATCTTGCTGAAAGGTCACATTATAATCATCAGTTTGGGCTACTGCAAGCAATTCCAACATGATGAGGTAATTGTGTGATGTCATCACATAGCATTCCACAAAGAAATACAGGCCAATCACGCAATCTCTGGTAAGAGCACACCACACATTAACTCTAGGGCGAGCACGCTCATGTTTAACAAAATCATGGGAGTGTTGGTTAGCCCATATTCTTACATTGTGTCGATGGACATGCCCTGAAACATGAAAAAATGTCCTCCTAACTGAACATTACATGATGTAAAAACTGCTGTTCCACGTCAGTTTCATTAAGAATATCCACATCAAAATTGTAGCTTTCGCGATTATCACTTGGGAGGATTGCATGTAACAACTGAAATTTATAACCAGTAAAATGTAGATGTTTTTTAAAAACTCTGCGAACAGTTGTTTTTTAAAATGCTAATTCTCGAGCATATTTATGTACCAATTTCTTTGTACTGTGGATAAAACTCTTTCAGATGTTTTCCACCGACTCATCACTAAAGGATGGTCTTCCATAATGCTGTTTGACCAGTAGGCTTCCTGTCTCTCTTTTAGCTGTCTATCCATATGACAAATGCTGTTTTCATGTGGTAGTTCTTTGTTAAACACATGATGGTACTCACATTGCACTTGAGTCACAAATTCAAATTTTGCAAGCCACAAAACATACTGCACTTTCCTTTGAACTGTCGCCATCTTGTGTAAATCACTCTGCGAGTGAGCGTCACCTTGGATACATTGTGCGCACAGCTACTTGCCATCGCTCCCTCCCCACCCCCTAACCCCAGTTCCACCTGTTTCATGTGTCATGTTTTATTTCAACAATTTAATCATTTGCCCCCTCCCCCGTTGTTTACCTGAATCTAGAGCAGTTGAAACATAAGTTTTTACTGCTGCACTATCTATTTTTGTTCTAAATGTCAGTAGCCGAGACATACAACTAACTATAATGTTAGATGGTAGGATGATGGATGGATAATGATTTTGGAAAATTGTGGAAGGAAACAGTTGTGGCTTAATTTGGGATATTCTGGAATTTGTGTTGTTGGATTGGAGGAACCATGAAAATCCTCAGTCAGAATGGTTGTCTCTGAGTCAGTATTTGAATCTGAAACCTCGAGAATACAAGGCCAGAGTGACACCTTCTTGGCTGAACACTCAGTGCTGAACTGACTAAGACTGACTCCATATGGCTGAGTTCTTCGTGAGAAACTGCCCTTTCTCTGTGGGACCAAGAAGTTCATTACCATGTTCACAATAGCCCTCCACTGATCTCTATCCTGATCCAAATTCCTGTTCTGAGCTATGTGTTAAAAATGTTAACACCTTTTGGTTCAGCCAGCTGGTTGCTAATCTACATGTACCTCTCAAATATATTTTAAAAGAAACTTTTCCACTAGAAAACTAAGGAAACTGACCCACTTTGAATGATTTTAAGACTGGAGTGTACAGAAGAATATTCAATAAACATGCTGTTTACAAATCACAGACTTGGCATAGATCATTTTTCAGAAATATTATCACTTCAACTGCAGATTATTATAACTATCACTACAGATATTTCCACTGCAATATCCTTCTGCATCTAGCCCTAATTTGACATATTAATGAGCAAATATATTGTGTCTGCTCTCCTTAGCATGCTCTCAATTTTATTTTAATAGTTGTTATGCCAACATAATGGGAAATCAAGTGACTAGTAAGAGTCAGTCACATTGCAACAGCGAAGTTGATGTAAAAAGCTAATCCATTGCTGACAGTTTTTAAAAAGGATGTAGCAAGCTTATGCATGCAAGGACACAGTCCTTTGAAAATCAGCCATAGTCTTCAAACTGTCAAAGTGACTGGTGATAGATCACAGTATTAGCTGATTAATGAACTTGAGAAAACAGTAATTAGTTAATCGTGATGGTAGTGATAAATGTAGATAAATTCAGGTTGATCAGTCTGAACGAAAACATGTTAATTATTATCAGTTGTTTGCAGTTGTAAGATTGCTGAACAGAGGCTGCTGTAACAAGGGAGGATTTGTTTTTTGATAAACAAGGCTGGATGGAGTTTGTACAAAGGATGAAGATTTGAAGCTATGAGATGTAATATAAAGATTATGAAGGCTGCAACAATTATTAAAAGAACAACAGTTAAAGTGTGAAGAGTTTCATCTTCTGGGACATGATGCTGTTTAGTACAGTAGAACCTTACCACTGTTTTGAAGGCATGTGCTGGCTTTATCATCAGGGTCTACGCGTAAGCCAGACGAGCAACCAGCAGTGGAGTGGTGTCCACAAGGAATGGGCTGAATGGTTTCCACAACTGACACGAATGAACACTCAGTGCCCTTCATTTCAACAAAGATTTACCATCACTGTTTGGGGTTTGCAATTGTAGATGCTTACCTAATTTCACCATATATGAGAGCCAATTGTCTCGGTGGAATTGCATGCACTGATATCCGTGAAGAAACACTTTTTCTGCCGCTGAAGAATGTACTGCTTAATGTTTGTGAGGGCTTGTGGTTTCAGAACTGTGATGCCTCTTTTGATTTTTTGTGCCATGTGTGTAATTGGTCGAATAACTGTTTTCCAGACATGTTGGCCAGGGGGGTTTGATTGGCTTCCGTGTTCTCCTGATCAGAACCTACTTGATTTTCTTCTAATGGGAATGCATGAAACAAATCATTATGCCGCTGGTAGTATAAGATCTTGATGGTCTGATCAGTCACATTTGTTAGATCTGACATATTAGGGGCCAACCTAGACACCTAGAAAGTCTTTGAGTAGTTCTGTGAAGAAATATGTAGAACTGTGGGTGAGTCTCCGCTACTTGATCAGGATCTATGTGGTGAACATAATTTAAAATTCAAAGTGGAAAGATCTGATCATTTTGCAGACTTTCTGTCTTGTTCGTTGTAACTAAACGTAATGAATGATGTTAAATCTAAATAATTAAATGTATACATGAATGCACAGTTAGTATTTAACTTTATTAAAAAGTGGTGAAATGTCATAATTTGACAAATTTGGTGAATCAAAGAACAATTTATTTACATTTGTGCTCCAAATTATCTCCCCACGAACCTCCTGAAGTTTGTCCATAGGACTTCCAGTCACCCTCTTTACACACACCCTTTCCCTCTTGCCCACTGTTTCACTTCCATGTACTTTTAGTTTGGTTCTAATATAATCTTTTATCTTAGCAGATAGTCTGAATCCAGCGACTACTCTCAAAAATCTCATTTATTTTGTTTGTAAACTTCTTCTATGGTCTTATCATAGCACCAAAATGTTGTATCCACATTGATGTATTGAAAGGGTACTTACTTACTTACTTACTTACTTGCTTGCTTACTCATGGAGCCGAGCCCTTCTGGAGGAGCCGCCAATTCTGCAGCTACTCAAGAATTTCCCAGCATTTTATGGAACCTGAAGGTTCATCACCGTGTTCACAAAAACCCTCAACTGGTCCCTGTCCTGAGCCAGATCTATCCAATCTATACCATCACATCCTATCTCTCTAAGATCCATTCTAATATTGTCCACCCACCTACGCCTTGGTCTTCCCTGTGGCCTCTCTCCTTCCGGCTTTCCCACCAATATCCTATATGCATTCCTCATCTCCCCCATTCGTGCTACATGAACTGCCCACCTCATCCTCTGTATTGAAAGGGTATTTTTAAAAAATCTTAGTTTGTATAAAGTGAGATTTTTGTGATCTTTTGTACTGGTTGTTCTTAAACAAGTATGTTGAATGTTTTAAGTTTGCAGGGAATGATACAATAGTTCACATCATGTATGCATAGTGTCATGTTTTGTACCTGAATTTGGGGTTATGGTAGTAGACTTGAATAAAGAAGTGACGTTGCTTGATTCCTTTAGAGCACGCCTTGTCAGCATCCTGTGGTAATGCTAGCAGGAGTTACAGCATCAGATTTAGAGGCTCTGCTTGAGTTTGTGTACCGTGGTGAGGTGAGTGTGGATCCTAACCAACTTCCCTCACTTCTACAGGCTGCCCATTGCCTCAATATCCAAGGGTTGGCTCCAGGCACAATTAGTGGCGAGGTAAGTATGGAGACAAGTTTTATGTCAATCTGTCCTCATAGCTGGGATACCTTCTGAAGAAGAATATTTTCTGTACCCAATAAATTTTACCAAAGCATACATACATGTGGCTGTATTTTAAATATAGTGACTCCCATGTAAGTTCTTTTGAAGGCAGCATATTTGAACTCCAAACTAAGAAAAGTCTTAAATGTAGGATGTTTAACATTGAGACTCTTAATTGAGATCTCTGAAATTGAGTCTTAAATGAGAGAAAATTTTAAATGGAAGAGTGTTAGATGGAGGTTCACTGTGTATATAATGCCTGATCATAAAGTTCTCAGAATATCTATGTAAGAAACAAGTGAGAGGTTGCACACTTTCCAAAACAAAGTAAAATATCCTCACACAAGTCCATTTCATAACTATGGTTTTTCATTTTTACTCACATGAATACATTGCACCAAGTACAGATGTGATTGTAATTATCATATTTTGCAATGGTCAGCATCACATTGTTACTGTAAACAATAAAAACACAGGACAAGCTGACACATTTGGTAATGAATCTTTTACTTTGAAATAACAGTCAAGTGTTTTAAAAAACTGAAGGACAGATAGAAATTGCCTGCTCACCACAGGTGGCTGTAATACCATGCATACAGGTTTTTGTCATTGGTGCGTGATGCAGTCAAAGAAAATCAGCATATGTCTAACAGAGAGGCTGCAGAAGAGACAGCTTATGCCCCTCGGTTGATGCTGACCTGCAGTGATTTCTGCCAGGTTTGTCTCCTGCATCAGCATTATGTAGTTCTTTTGGTGCAACAGTATTTTTACTAAGGGACAGCACAGCAAGTATAGTGACAGGCTGTTGGCTGGCTGGTCTGGGAATTGGGGTTTGATTTGTGATGGGGTCAAGAGATATTTCTCTTCTCTGTGTTATCCATACTGGCTCTGGGGGCTCACTGGGGGCTCTTTATCCAGGAGTAAAGCAGCTGACATCAAGAATGGGGGAGCAATACATACACTCCCCTGTACATCTTCAGGGCATTGTGTTTAAGTACATATACTCTTACTTACGTTACATACAACATTACATGAATGCCACAGCCAGGCTGTGGCTTTGAGCAGTTGCTTTGATTTCTGAGAAGGAAAGTTCCCTAAATGGTTGGAGATATGAGAGGATTGACACAATTAAAGTAACATGATACAGCAGTTCTTTAAAAAACTGTGAATGATATGAAGTGTACTGTATTAAAGGGGATAAAATTAACTACATGATAAGTAGAATCGTTCTCATGTTTAGCAATACAGAAAACTATTCAGCAAACTATGCCACCAGAGCTTATACATTTATTAATTTGGATTAAGTAATTTTTAAATTCTTATGCATAGGGATTGGCATGCTAGTCACAAATTTCTCAGATCTTTAAATGAAAAATCTGAACTACAGTGGATGTATGAAGGGATTTTGTGTTAGGAAAAAGAATATGGTGGGTGTCTGAAAACCCAGTTTGATATGAACTGAAATTTTTTGGTTCTAATTTTCACAGCTATGTGGAATGAATAATTTTGGGTTGCTGCTTTGACAGAATTATTCTTAGTGGCATAATTAAACAGGATGGCCTTTGATGTTTTACTTTTGAGATGCTGTGACGGAATAAATGGTGACTAAATTTGTAACATGTTTTTGCAAAAAAAAAAGTATTATTAATTGACTACAGTTTCCACCTTGTACTTACACTGTGATTAGTTGTGAATAGTTCATGTTGCCAGCAATTTCCAGTGTAACAATTGTCTCAAATTCTGTGCTTTTATATATGGAAATCCTTAACAGAATTATCTGGCTACTACAGATCCTCTCAGCTGTAGGTGTGAAAAAGGTTCATAGGGACAGAGCGAAACAAGTTTTTATAAGCTTTCTTCCGATTTACTGTAGTTTAGAAATTTTGTTTCTTTCTTGGATTTTAAGCTGAGAGGGGCTCTTTGGACTCTTGTTTTGTTACATAGTAAGGTATTTGAACTGTATTATAGTTCATGCATCCTTCAGTTTCTTTCAGTCCTTCCAGGCAAATGCTGAAGTAATACCTTTAGAAATGAAACAGCTACTAATTCCAAATGTTCATACTTAGTGCAGATATAAAACATTGTTTAAAAAAAAAAAGAGGCAAGTTATCTTTTCAGTATTAATGTCCTGCTAAAGAATGCCTAATCTTGTTAATTTAATGTTGTATCTTGGTGAATTATTAATTGAATGTGATTGTCATTTGTGTTTTATAGAAACCGGAAGATATGAATACAGTGCCATCTGCACATGAGGCTCTGACAAGGGATGTAATAAATTCATTCCTGCCAATACGTAGGCGGAAACGCACTAAGCGAAGGAATTCATCAGGTTTGTTTAAATATGCTTGTTTTTTTTTTTCAAATGGCAGCGGTCATATTTTGAGTCATAGTATTCTCAAAAATGCAGTTTAGTGATTAGCATATCTGCTTCTTATGTGGGAAGTCTCAGAAATGTTTTCATGGTTTTACTCAGTCTCCCAGTCTGTTTCTGTATTTGAAGTCATAAGATTAACCACTACACAAGCTTACATTAAAAACTTCTTTTCATTTTATATCACATATATGTTTTTACTGCATGTTTCAACCATAAATGGAAGTATAAATACTCTCTGTCTATGAGTTTATTGAATGTTTATGGATAATTTGAATTTTTTATATCATTTGACATTATACACTCAAATTATGTTTCTGTTTTTTTGTATCTAGTTTTTCTTGGTCAGTCTAAGTTAAATTATTACTTTATGCTATAATTTTATATGGTTCCTTTTTGATACTTGATACTTCCACTGTTTTTAGTTAGTAACCAAAGTTGAATGATGATACACTATGGCAGCACCTTCAAAGCCACATATTGAACTATATCAGTCAGCATTTGAGGACTCATTATACTCTGTTAACACATCAATCCTTGCTGCAGACACACACATCGTATTACGTCAGTCAACTCTGGTTACTCACCGACAGAAAACAGAAACACGCGAAAAGAGGAAAAGCTGCTGGGAGTACCCAAAAGGAAAATAACTAATATACAGTAGTAAGTTATAATTTAACCTAGATTGACCAAAGAGTATTACACACAGAAAAACAAGGGTGTGGTATGAAGTGTGAAATTTCAAAATAAAAAAGCAATTTGAACTCAATAAAAAGCACGAAACTTCAAGAGCATTTAGTAAACTCACAAGTGGTGGAGAAAATTTTTATTGAA